CACCTGTGATACCTCTGCTCCACAAAAAATTAGAGTGTCATCTGCATATAGCAAATGAGAAATAGTGACTGTATTTTCAGCATTGGTGCCAATTTCAAAACCTTGAATCCATTGTAATTCTCTGGCCTTGTCTAGCATTTTGCTCAACCCTTCCATGGCTAGGATGAAGAGAAAAGGGGACAGAGGGTCCCTTGCCTGATTCCTTTTTGGGGAGAAAAAAAAAACCCAATTGGACTGGAGTTCACTAGGATTGAATACTTGACTGATGTAATGCTGAACTTTATCCACTTGAGCCATTTCTCCCCGAAACCCATCTTCTTTAAGATAGTGAAAAGATATTGCCAGTTTACTTGATCAAATGCCTTTTCTATATCGAGCTTTCATAGAATTCCAGACTCCCCTTTCTTTTGCTTCCAATCCAGTACCTCATTGGCAATAAGTGAAGCATCTGTGATTTGTCTACCTTTGAGAAAAGCATTTTGACTCCCAGAACAACCTTGCATATTACAGTTTTCAATGTTTCAGCTAAAAATTTTGCTGCGATCTTGTAGACACTGCCAATTAGACTAATAGGTCTATAATCTTTTAGTTCAATAGCCCCCTTTCTTTTTGGGATCAATGCAATGAATGAAGCATTGCAAGATCTCACCATATGGCAGTGTTGGTGAAAATGATTCATGGCACCAATGACATCAGATTTGATTATGCCCCAAGCCTCCTGAAAGAATCCCATGGTGAATCCATCAGGACCTGGTACCTTATCCGGCGCACAAGACTTGATGGTGGCTAGTATTTCTTCTTCCCCAAACTCTTTTTCAAGCTCCTCATTTTCCACCTCTGAGATGCAGGCCAAATCTTCAAAGTTAGTTGTTGGTCTCCAGTGTTCAGCTTCAGAGTAGAGGCCTTCATAGAAGCCCAGTATTTCCTGTTTGATCTGGTTCTTGTCCTCAATAATGTCTTCCCCCACTTTGAGCCTGTCAATGCAATTGTATCTCTTGTGACCGTTGGCCATCTTTTGGAAATACTTGGTATTTCTATCTCCCTCACTTGGCCATAAACATCTAGATTTTTGTCTCCGAAATGTTTCCTCCGCTTTGGCAATATTCTGAATTTCCATCTTTAGATCAAGCATTTTGGACTGCTCCATGGGTGATAGCAGCCTGGTCTCACTAGCCTGGTCCAGAAACATTAATTCCTCTAGTGCCTTGCTCCTCTGGGATTCAATTTTGCCGAAAACTTCTCTATTCCAAGTTGATATGTCTTTCTTCAGTAGTTTCAACTTCTGGACCAGGATGTAGTCTGGAGTGCCTACCACTGAGTAGCCCTGCCACCATTCCTTAACTTTGTCAAGAAAACCTTCTACCTGCAGCCACATGTTCTCGAATTTAAAATAGGTTGGGTTAGTCTCCCATTCGCCATTTTCAAGTATGAGTGGTCTGTGATCAGATATGACTTTGGGAAGAGCAATTTGAGATACTTTCTTGAAGCTATCGTTCCATTCTGGGGAGATAAGGAATCTGTCATTTCTGAATGCTTGAATAGAATCTTCCCCTCTTGACCAAGTATAGAAAGCCCCTTGAGAGGAAGATCAATGATACCCAAGTCTTGAATGATATCAGAGAATCTTGACATTGCTTTTCATCTCCTGATACAGTTGTATCTTTCGCTTTCAAATCTGCATACATTAAAGTCCCCCCCCCCACACACACACCCAACCCAACGATCACTCCAAAGGCCTCTAATAGAGGCTAGTTCACTCCAAAATACCTCTCTTTCTGAATTTGTATGAGGGCCATAAACCCCTGTAAAACACCATCTAAAATTTTCTTGGAGACCATCTAGCATGCAAGAGATAGTGTAGGATCCTT